AGCACAGAATATTTAGCGTATTTTTAATGCTCTGGGAGCTGTTATTGCTACTGAACAACTGAGGGTAAAATGCACCTAAATCCCTCAGGTGCCTGTGGCAAGGACAGGAAGGTGAATTTTTGGTTGTCAAATCTACTTTCCCAACCTAAACACTGTCCTGTCATTCAGTACATCCTTTACATTCTTATTTAAATTATGATATTAGACCTAAAACTATTTCTGCCTGGAAAGGGATTTTCTTATCTCATGGGCCACCAGCCAGAGGAATATTCCAAAAGAGCAAATCAGTATTTATAAAGGAAATTCCATTTCATTTCCAATCATATACAAGCACCTGACCAGAGCTTTGGCAGGATCTGATTTTTAAATCATGCATCACAAATCTTATTTCTTCTTGTTACACCACTACCTGAATGTAACATGAAAAAGGGTTCTGCTTCTATTATTTGGAAATCTTTAGAAAGCAGATTTTAGGATGCAAGGCCTTGGCCTGCACAGGTGGTGTCTGTGTGGTGGAGGCTGACTCCTGTCCTTTTTTCTCTTGCAGTAGCATTGAAAAATAGGCTGACTTTGTCTTTAAACACTATTTCTGTGGCTGTAAGGCATTTTCATGGGAAATTTTATGGTTTAAATGGAGATACAGACAGACAAAAGGATAAAATGGTGATTTTTGTTGTTGATGAACTCATGAGATTTTGAAATCTGCCTGGGTTTAATATGTAAGAATTCTCCAATGATGACTTAAAATTTCTCCTGGGCTCCATGATCTGTGGGAGCCTGAAAGAACAAAAATTCTTTGTATACAAATTGCATCCTAAAAGAGCAAAACACAGACTTTTTTCCCCCATTTGTCACATGAGCAAGCCATGAACTGAAAAAGAGCAATTTTGCATTCGAAGAGAAGCCACTAAAAGATGCTCTTTCTCTTGAAAGATCAAGGAGGCGTGCAGGTTAGTGAGGGAGAGAATAATGCCAGGTTTTATCCAACACTGCAATTCTCTTTATTTATATATATATATTTTTAAGAAAACACAGTAAAGCTTGCTGCACTCTCAACAGTTCTATCAAGGGTTGGATTAGCCCTAACAGCCCTGTTTCCACAGTTTGAGGCACCAAAAAAAGGCTGACCAGTGTTTTGTGAGTTCCCATTGAAATGTTAGTGCCATGTATCTGGAAATTTCAGATATAAACACTTTTCAAAAACAGTACCAAAGCCATCATGGCTTGATTGCCATAACTGGTATGGAACAGAACTCAGAACACCCAGAGGCTCAAGCCAGAGGGATTTATACACAAGTGCTTGCATCTGGAGGGTGCCTGTGTAAATATAGGATTTTGCCCATGCATGTGCTATCTGAAACACTTTAGATATCTAAAATTGTTCCAGCCTTGCTGCTTAAAAGGCCACAAATACTTTAGCACTGTGCACAATATAAAGCTTCATATTGTAAAGGGAGAGTGACTGCACTTCACTAAATTTGCTGTAACCTTGTAAATTTTGCCACACACTGGAGCTTCCTGATTAGCAAAACTAAGGTGGCTTTCAGGAAAAAAATGCACAATGGATCTCAAATGTGGTTATGAAGTTACTGCACTCGGTCAGAGTGAAAAACTTAATTTTGATGTGTATTGATATGCTTCAGTTGTCATGGAGATCAGCAGGATAGAGAACGTCCAGTGCCCAAGGCCACTCAGCTTTTTGAATTAGCCATGGTTTTGGGTACAGGATCTTTTATCAGAGCAGCTTGCTTAGATCCTGGGGAAAATAATGGGTTTGGAGAATCAGAAAAATGTTTAGAAATTTCAAATTGAGCATTAACTTGGGAATATCCAAAGTAGACCATTCTGGTTCTCTGTCCTTTTCCTCATGCATTGCTCATGTCTAAGTTTGCTGGTTTGAGTGCACTGTTAGACTGAAAGGGATAGATCTGAATTTTCCTTTGTCCCCAAATCAGTTGGCAACTCTGATTCTTTGAATCAGTTACTTAATGTAAAGGTGAAGGTGGAGCTGAAGCAATTGGTCATGCAGCAGTTAATGTGAGACTTCAGGAAACAGGGAATAATTCTGGCATCTCTGGTCCTGAACGTGCTTTCAGTTTATACCAAAGCTCAATGCCCACCAGAAACCATTGTCTTCCACTTAGTTTTTCCCACCATTCACACTTTTGCCTCTATCATATGAAGACAACAGGAATTTATTTTCCCCTCAACGTCTCTGTTTCTTCTTGTCATTGATTTCTTGTGTCTCACTTCAGCGGCTGGCATTGTTTTACATCCAGTGGGGTTAGTTTTACATCTGGAGAATTTTAAGGATGTACTCCAAACAAGTACACAGCCGGAGGTAGGGAGTGGACAAGGGAGATGTTGCAGAAAGATTTTTGATCTGGAAAAATGGATTTCTTGTGAGGACCTTGTGACTAACAGTGTGTGTCAAAGGAACTGTGGGGTGCAAAGCAGGTAATGAGGTTTCTGAGAACAAACTCTGCCTGTCTTGGAGGGTAAAAGAACATCCTCAAGGGCCACCAGGCAACAGAGCCTTAATACAGAGTGTAGTCTCAATGAAGGCTGTTGAAACAAATGCAAACCTAAAATCTACCTCAAGACAGGACCATGTGTACAATTCATATCACCGTTTTAGTCCCACCTGTATCATTACTGAGGGAATCCCAAGCTGTAATTCCTATTTATATTTCCAAAGAAAACACTGGGTTTGTTCAGCTAATTAAGTGTCTGCAAGCCCAAGCTTTTTTAACAAAGGGAGTGCTCTCTTTTTTCATGAAAGAGAGTTGTAGAGATGGGTTGTACCGTGAATCTGCAGGGATATTGCAGAACATGTAAGGCAGGTGAGTCAAAACAGTGTAACTGAAGCTTCAGAGCTGCAGATTATATAAACCCAGTGTAGTTATAGTGATGCTGAGCTCTGCCAGCTGACAGGAGCCCAAACCTGTCTGCAATGCTTGAAAATCTATTTCTTGTGTCAGCCCAGGACAATAATCACTCTGTGGGCTTTGCTCATTTGCTTTCTTTCAAGGACAATGAGCTAAATCCCATTCTCAGATATTTATGCCTGGATTTGGATATGCACATTCTTCTTTTGAAACAGTAAAATATTCAGAATGTTAATTTGTGTGAGAATCTCATTTGGCATGGTATATTTTTCCCATTGAACATTATTCTCATTTATAATTCTGTTGTCTGCTGCACCTCAGTGATGTTACTGCACCTCCAACAGAATTATTCCACAGTGCATGACTTGGATTTGTGCTCTGCACTCAGAGACAATAACCCGGCTTGGGAAAACAGGAGCTCCAGAATTAATACAGGGCAAGAATCAGGACACAGAACCTTGAAGCTACAGTTGTTTTTGTTGGCAGAATTCTGCTCTCTGCTACCAGCTTTATTCTCTAGAGCACAGGCAAATATTAGGCTTAATGTCTTCATTATTTAGCTCCAAGTATAGCAATGGTGTTCTCCTTTTTATGTCAACGCTGTAGAAGTTAGAAAAGCCAAGAATGAGCACTGTAGATAGAATTTTTGTCTCTCTTTAACCATTCAGTTTCACCTTCAAGCCTCAGATCTACTCAAGGGTCAGATTTACTGGACAAAAAGTTCCAGACCAAATTCGTGTTTGTTAAACGTTTGTTTTTAATCACAGCATTAATCTGTGAGCAGTCATTCAGCTTCAGCTTCTTATTTTGGTGGCATTAGCAAGGAAAAGTAGAACTAGTAGAACTCTAGGTAAGAAGTCTAAGAATTTGGGATTTGTTTTCCATTAAAGGTTAGAGTCACAGTTTCCTTTTTTTTTTTTTTTTTTTTTTTTTTTTCCCATGAAGAACACAATATTTGTTGTACTTTTAGCAAGACAAGAGGGGATCTACCTGGTTTAATCAAACAATCCTGCAGGGCTACTTCCACAGTCTATAGAGACTTGCCCAGTCCAGAGAAGAAAATCCTTTCGTACAGCTTATTTAACTTTAAACAACAAGTTTAAATCTCACTTTATGGCCTATTTCTCACCACTCACTGCCAAGCTGGCATGGGGTGGCAAGGAAAAAGGCATGCAGCTAAAAAAAATTACAGGAGATGCAACTAAAAGACAACTTTGCTGAGGAGCACCTGGGCTTACTCTGGATGAGAGGGTGAATGGCTCTGCCTGCACAGAGCTGCAGCCGCTGCAGTGGGATGGAATTGCAGAATCTGCTTGTTGCTCACAGAACAAGTTCTGTTTTTCAAACTGCTCCGTCTGATCTCTGTAAGGGCATGGGGTTCGTAAATGTAGTTGGTGTTTCGAAGGGAAACAAGTGCAGCTTCAGGGAATCTTCAGCTCCTGAGCAGCAGGGAGAAGTTGTCACCCAGCCTAGAGAAGTCATCAGCTGAGGAGAAGCGAGTATGTGATATAAATAATATATTATAGGGATCCACTTTTCAATTTTCTCCTCTCTCTCCCATACAATCTCTCTACTTCCACTTTGGTTAACTTTCTACTGTATTTTCAATGCTTTATTTAATTGATTTGTTTCTGCATTCCTTCTCCTGCTACTGCACAGCTGCCAATCCTACTCATGGTGAGGTTACATAGAATTACTCAAGCAGGGTGCACAAAGATTCTTCACAGGGAGCAGTTTTAATTTGCATGAATCAAGGTCTACCTTTACTGCATTTCCCAAAGGATTCCCTTTCAGCACATTCAGAGACAAGGCACAAACCTCATCACTCCCCGTGCGTTGGTAGTGACCTAAATTCAGAACCCTGACCATTTTTATGATGGATGTACTTGGATAATGCAGCATAACCTCCTTCCCCTTGATCAGCATGCTCATTTCCCTCCTCTTAAACACCTCTGAGACATCTAGAATTGAATTACAACTCCTTTTGCCTCAGATTTGTGTTCTCTCTCATTTGCATTGAGATGTCCAGGTGTTCGGTGGCCTTCAGCCACATCATCCATCTCTCATTTCACCCCGAGAGTGTTTAACTTTTTCTTTCCCCTTCCACCCTAGCACCCTCCCTCTTCCTCCCAGATGCAGCTGCAGTCCCTGCCCAGGACACTTGCGGTGAGACTCAGCTTGTTTGCCTTTAGCTGTCTAAAGTCTCGTGCTCGATCTGAGCGGTCCAGTCGTCGTCTATGGTCACTCGGGGACACCAGGGCACCTCCGTCAGACAGAGCATCCCCTTGTGCCTTAGATGTCTCTGTCACACAGGCCAGCTCAGCCTGGAAGTCCCTGTTCTTCCCCTGAGTGAGTCCAAGGTGATAGTTCAGTTTGGAACCTGTCTTTGGCACGTGGAGTTAGATGTGACCGACTCCGTTCTCTGTGTGCCTACAGAGGTCTGAGGATCCTGCCCTGATTCGTGCAGTGTTTTCATAGCCATGCTCTCATTTTAATTCATTTTCTTATATTTGTCTATTTTTTTCCTCCTTCATATTTTTTTTCTGGTTCCTGCCTCCTCTGTCTCTTCTCTCTTTCTCCCTTTCCTTCTACCAATGTCTCTACTCTGAAAATAAATAAAAAAGTTTGCAAAATAAAAGGGGAGGGAGAAAGGAAAGAAAACATCTATAAATTCTGTACTCTAAAAACTTGGGGCACTTTACATCATCTAAAATCAGAGAGTTTACTGAAATTAGTAATGGCAGAAAATAAGTGTAACAGCACTAAAATAGTAAGGTTTTCCTAAGAAGTATTAGCATTGTCTTCCATCACAAACCTGTGTGTCAGTGTCTCCTCACTGGGTATGGAGCAGCAGTTAATCCATAGATAATATTTTCAAAATCAAGTCTGATTTTTTCAATATTTCTAGTAAATACCAAGTGCTGTCATCTCAGGTCTATTCACCAGGAAAACCTATTAAAAAATCAATCCCTGTCAAATGAAACAGGGCATAAGCAGTAAAGGAAACATGGATGGGAATTTATTTCTAGATTGCCATGGCAACATTAAGTATATCATCAAAGACTTCAAACCTCTACAACAACCCACGGCTAAGACTTTTCAAAGTGATTATTGATTTTTAGATCTTTCCTTTTCAGGTTCTGTACCTTAATATTCCTCGTAAGTGCTTCTTTTCAACACAGGCTGAGCAGCCCTCTTGTGGTAAAAATTGGTCTGAGAAATGTGTTTCAGATCAAGTGATCAAAAAAATGAGTGGCCCTCAAAATCCATAGTCACTTCTGAAAGCCTCAGTCACAATAAAATGGAACTATCCCTAAAACCTCTTTGCTCATTTTTGATCAGTCTAAGCAGACGAGTAATCCCAACTCAGCTCTGTGAAAAGCAGGTGGTGCAAAAATCTAGCACAGAAATTCTACTGTAAGAGGAGCAGTCATTTTCATGTTTACTTCCTCAGCAACATCCAAAACATGAAATTCATTTTATGAGTTGAAACACAGTTACTATATCCATGTGCTGGATGTGTCCATGCCCCAAGACTGTGTTCTTTCCAACTCTTATACTGTAATATTTAATAACAACACAGTTATCAGGCTTTAATTATCCAAAAGGAAGCAAAATATAACTCCAGTAATGGGGATTGACTTAAAGGAGTTAAAAGTAGGGGGAAATTCATGTTTTCAATTCATCCTGGTTTACTGTTCCGATTATAAATTCCATGAGTTGTGAACACAGATCTTAGACTGTATAACAGAAACAGAGTTGGGTTTGTTTGAACAAACTTAAATGTTTGCCTTGAAGGCAATTGCTTTAAAAATCAACTTTTATTATCCTTTATATTAATGGAGATTTAGTCAGGGTACTCAGTGGTGTTTGGTATTCATCCCATCCTAGAGTGGACATCTAAAATAGGTCAGATGTATCTGGCCAACAAATGTGTATTTCTCTCTCAACTGTTTATTCTGATGATTCTCAGGGTCCTAAGGATGTCCATTTTGCTTACACATCTGTACTGTAAACCTCCAGCCTCTCCTGAGGTGAATCCCACCAAAACAACCACATGTTGGAAACAAAACAAAAATTCTCTCCTTGAAAGATGACAAGAAATCACTATTTTCAATTTGCATGTTTTTCAGCCCAGATATAAAATCTCTTATAGGATCCCTCCAAATGTCTCCATGTTTCAGACTACCCTTCTGAGTGACTGATTTAAATGAGCCCCTCCTGGGTGGTTGGAAAGGAACTATTTTGTTCTCTGTTCCTGGAATCCAACATGCAGGGATCAAAGTCCCGTCCCACAGTGTATGAACTGCTGCTTTGATGGGCACACTAAGTGGTACCTCCAAAATTACCAGTCAGGCATTCAGATTCCATACTGAGCTCCTTCCCCATCACCAAGGAAGATGGAAAAACAGCTTTGGTGTCCTTATTAGAACTCTGTTAAAAAGAAGGGATCCACACTACAACGAAAATGAGGAACACCTGATGGAATTAACCTTAGATTGATCCCCATCCTACAAGTCTATGTTACTCTCTGATTGTTCTCCATGAGCATGCAGTCAGCTTTCATTTAATCTATTGTTCTGTGACCCCCTGAACAAAACCAGACTGAAAAGGTCTGGTGTATTTTGGATGCGTTAGTGCTGCCCGCCTGCCCTCAAGGTGTTTGAATTTTGGTTTGTCCATGAATCAGCACATCACAACGGCCAGCAACAGCCAGTGCACTTTAATTTTTATTTAATCTTTTAATTTCTGCTTCAGTCAAGCAGCTGGTTCGTGCTGTGACTCCATTCTGTCGTGTCTGCTTTCCATCTTTGTGACGTGTCTCATGAAATGTGTTGAAAGTGACCTACCTTGGCCTGTTCACGATATGCTGAAAAAAATGCTAATCTTGTCATATTTAGCAGCTGCGTTCAGAAATGCTACTGTAAGCCTAAGAGGGCTAACCAGCACTCTTGCAAGATGTCAGAACTATCAACCATTACCCTGTAAGTGTACGCACTCCTGTGACATTACTCTGTGTGTGTGACGCATGTTGCAGTTAAATGAGTGGTTGAGAGCAGAGGGGAAGTAACCAGAGAGCAAAGCATTCATTTAGTTCTTGTTGCATGTAGAATTTTTGCTTTGTTCTTGTTCTGTGCCTTTGCCGATGTGCTACGACCGAGGATTTTAAGGTTGTTTTATTTTTTTCTTCTTTTTTTTTTTTTTTGGTAATTATGGCTGATGCTATTGATGGTTTTGGGTAGTGCCTGTACAGAATTAATAGCTGCTCTTTATTGTACAGCAAAGAGGTGAGCACCTTCATACTGAGAGAAAATGTTTCACCTGAAAGTTTCCTAGAAAAACTGGGTGAGGTTGAGTCAATCAGACCCTCAGTGGGTATAAAACATCTTCTGTCCATTGAACTGAGTGAAGTTAATTTAATAAACATCCAAAAATTAAGAAAGTCTAAAGTTGACCTAATATCAAAATTAATTGTATCCATCAGAATTTATAGAATCATAGAATCACTAAGCTGGAAAAGACCTCCAAGATCATCAAGTTCTGTCCAATATTGTCGAATATCATCAAATATAAAATGAGGCATCCAGAAGAGTAAATAAAAGTCATTCAGCCAAGAGTTGTGTGAATTAATCACTCTCCTATAGTTCATCTGACTCCTTGCTCCTTGCATAAGAAGCCCACAGGTTTTCACAGATTCATGGAATTATTAAGGTTGGAAAAGAGCTCCAAGGTCATTCTTTCCTTTTGTTTAGATGAGGTGCAATTTCAGACATCTGTAATATGTTTTCTGATGATCTGTCTCCTGAATTTCACAGCAGTTCATAATTGTGAATCAACATTCTCTGAGCTGTCCTGTCAAACAGACCCAAGACTTCAGGATTTTGTTAAGGAATATTTAATAGTTATCTTCAACACCATTAAGGAAAAAAATATTGGTTTGTAACTTAACTCATATATGGTTATGGTTTTTAATTAGAAAAAAAATTAAAGTGAATTTTCTGTGTGATTTCATATATCTTTGAGGTATTTAAGAATTAGAACAATGAAGATCCTAAAAAATATTCAGTGAACAGACTGGAACCGTGCAAAAGCAGATAGAAATAGAGAAGACAAAAAGAAGCAGCTGTGTCTTCTACAGTTGGGTAAAACTGGGAGTTAGGTTTAGCGGGAGATAATTTGAAATATAAAGTTCACTGCCTAATGGACATCCTGATGCCGCCCAGACATCCTGTTGGGCCTTTGCAGAGAACAAAATTTTACATTAAATGCAGTGTTTCTGAAAGATGGGAGACTGATAACCTTCTAAGGTAAAATCCTCTACCTACTCAAGGGCAAGAAGAGTTCAGCCTAAACAGGAGGTATTAAAACCTATGTTTTTTGTGTCTGTTGAAGTATGAAAGTCTTGGTAAGCTTGCCTGTTTTTCAAGTCCTTGGTCTGAAGATGTGGTTTATGCATGGGAAAATTAAAAATCTGAAATATGTCTGGTGTTACCTCAGGTCTTTTGGAAGTGATGCTGCAGACCTAATTACATTTTGGAGCAGATCTGTCAGGGAGATTACTGAAGTTCCTGAAAGTCACTTTAATGCTTTCAGCATTTTGTGATAAAATAGATCCTTCAGTTTATTAAACATGAGCTGTGTCGAGAATTTCATTACTAATGACACCCTGTGCCTTTGTGGTTTGCTCTTTATCCTTCAATTTGAAATAGTGTCACGATTTTTTTTTTTTGCAGAGATTTATCACAGAGATGATGAATGAACCTTTGGCCAGAGAAATTGGGTTCCTCTAATCTAAACCTCACAAATCTACAGGGCAGAAATTTGTGTGACAAACTCAGTCCAGGTTCCCTTTGAGGTCAATGGATAGATTTAGGATGTGATAAGAATTTCCTTAAGGGCAGAGGATTTGTCCTTTTGTGCCAGTGATTCTTCTTCATAAGGGACTTTAGGTCTGATTTTAATTTACAAAAAAATAGATGCCATCATTGCAGATATGTCACAGCATTAAGTTAATCAATATATACATAAATAATCATACTCAATATCCACAGGGTTTACAACAGAAGTCACCTCTTGTTAAAAAAATATCTGTAGCACACAAGAATTAAGTTTTTAAAGTGTATTTTTCTCTGCATTGACTTTAGAGACAATTTAAAATAATTTCATAATCAACATCTAAACTATGTATATCCAAACCTCAGTGAGGTGAATTTTGCTTTCCAGGACTACACACCTTGATGTCTTAATTGAAAAAGTTTATATTTGATCAAAGTATTTTTCACTTAGGACAGCTTTTAAACTGGGCAATTCTCTTAATTTAGAGGGACAGGACTAAAGGGCAAAACAACAATATAATATTCCTTCGAAGTCTATGGTTTCATTTAATATTCCTTCAAAGTCTATAGTTTCAAGATTTTTGATTCTTTTTTGATTTTTTGTCTCAAAAAGGTTCAAAAGTTGAGACTTCAGCAATCTCCTTAATAAATGTGGATGTGTAATGGAAAAATAAAAGTATGATTCTTTCAAATACTGATCAAATTAGACACATTCCTACTTAGTGTTTCTTTTAGCATAAAGTTCTAATTTCATTGCTCCATAGAGGAGTGAGGGAGTGAGGAGTGTTAGTTTGTTTGTACTAACACTTAAAAAAAGTCCACATTCATAGCCATGCTATTGGGGAAAATCTTATGTTTGAAGTGATTTTAACGAAAATAACAACTGGGAAACAGAATGTCAGCCTCAACAAAAATTGATATTCAAATAGCTTTTTTTTTTTTTTTTTTAAGTAACCTTAAGGCTTTCCTCTCCCTGTGGGAATGTGAACAAGGCTTTTCCTAGACCTTTTGGACAACATTATCTTCCAAACAACCACCAGAAAAATTATGGTCATCAGAACTTCTAGATCTATTCCCCCTGAGTTTTTTTGCCTGTCTGAAAGAGTCGGGGAGAAAATGATAATTCATATCTTTGGTTGTTACACACCTGAGAATTCCACTGAATCCTTTAGGATTTTCATTCCCTGTTGCACATAAACCTATACATCTCACAGGACCAGCTTTTATTCTTCTATCTTCCCAAAGTTCTTGAAAAAAAGCAATTTATCATCATCCACACAGACATTAATGTCTCTCAAGGCTTTTCTTATCATTAAAATCTTCTTTACCTATTTATTTATCTTAATAATTTATAAACTTCAGAATATGTTATTTAATGTGTTTTTTTCCTCACTTTTTTGACAATATTGAAGACAACACCTCAAATAAGCTAATGATGGCATTATATTTCCAGATCCTACAAAGTAATTGTGTGATTAATCAGGTATGATTAATGCCAGAAATCTGACAATAAAGACTTCCTCTGCATCTTCCCCTGAATTAATCTCCCAAGAGTGCAGTGAGACAGAACATATTAATAGACAATTCTGTTCTGACTTTTAGATCAAAACAACATTTATCCTTTTGTTGTTGTCATTAAGTCTGAATATAAATGATAGAAGATACGGAAAGATGATTTTTTTGTCCAGCTTATTACTTTTAACTTGATTTTTTTTAATTCCATGACTACTTTAAGACACTTATATTCTTTACATCCCTTTTTTATAGTGATAACATTATTTAATCACCTCCTCAAAGTTTCTGTTCTGTTTTGTTAACCTGATTGCATGTCCATGGAGAAAAAGGACTAGAAAGGACCCCAAAAGCTCTTTTACAGGGCTCACTCCTGTATAGATTACTTTTTTTAGAGATCATCAAAGCTGGACACTCAGAATGTTCTTCATCACCCTGTCCCAGGGTGGTTCCTCTCTTTTCAAAAGATTTTGGCCAATATCTTATTATATACCCCACAAGAAGAGTGTTCCCTGTTTTGTGGGGTCTTCCACCAAGACCTGAGGTTTGGTGTTCATCAGATTTATGGCTCAGGTGTGCTTAGTGCAGTCTCCAGGCAAGAGTTGGGATGAATTTATCCCCATAGGGACTCAAGGTCTGAGGGACACCAGCACTGCACCCATGTCCCATTCCCAGATCACTACTGGAGATAATTGTGCTCACGAATTTCTTGCAAGTGTGTTAATTAAGTCTTCTAAAACAAACACATCATTTTGGGTTATCGCTGAGCATGAATTAGCAAATTCAAATCTGTCTGCAATGTACCAAATAGATAAAAGCAGAGGGGACATTTGAGTTTGAACAAATATAGAGTTCTTTGAAAAATCTTTACAGCTTTTTATCTTCCTTTGTCCTCCATCTTCCCTTTTCACTTACCTGAACATAATCAATTATATTCTTCTTCTCTGAAAATGTCCTGGAGGTTTTTTAGGTCACTTTTTTTTTGCCTTATTTTCAGAAAATCTGTTTTCTCTTTGCTTTTTTTTTTTTTTTTTTTTTTTTTTTTTTTTTTTTCTGCTCAATCAGTGACACTCACCAAAACATGCACAAGTCTTTTCTGGCCCCTACTCTGGGGCAATTTCACCAGTTAAGTGCTCACATGTAAAACATTTATTTCCAGCCCTTTTGTTTATATCTTCTAAGCTTAATTTCCCTCTGAAACCTCTTTATTCTGAAGCAGTGAAGTAGTTAAACAGTGGAATTGCATTTAACTTTCCAACTATATAAGTTGATACCAAAATCAAACTTTCAGGAATACTTGTGAGTACATGAACATGTAGGGGGATTTACTTTTATTTGTATTGCTGTTGGTTTTTTAGCTTTATTTGTGTGGTTATTTGGGAATTTTTTTTTTTTTCTGCTGTGCAGAAACATATTCACACACACACACAGAAATCAACAAAAAAAAATACTTCAAACACTCCACTGAGATTAAGCAATTGGGTGAGAGGTTTATAATTGTACCATAGTAGCAGTCTGAATCCCTTAGAAAAATTCCCCTCATTTTTTGGCATGGTAGGAGAAAATTCCTGCTTCTAAGAATGCAAATTAAAATAGCAGCAGTGAGAATTAAACATAATTAATGTGCCATTACTGTAGCAGTGTGAAGAAGGGGGAGCAAACTGCAGTGTGTGTGCAAACAGGCTTTGGGAGCAAACAGGAATGTTGCATATTTGTTTGTATAATTACGCGGCGTACGTATTTCCCAAAAGTCTGTCAGCAAAATATTTTCTGTGCTTTCTTCTTTAATTAAAGTGCAAGTTGCTAATTGTAAGGCTGCATTAAAGTTCTTTCCCTCTGTTGTGACAGGAGACTGGCTCGCTCCACCCTGCTGCTGATCCCTTTGTTTGGAATTCACTACACGGTGTTTGCCTTTTCTCCTGAGAATGTCAGTAAGAGGGAGAGGCTGGTGTTTGAGTTGGGACTGGGATCCTTCCAGGTGATTATACACTGAATTCAGCTTTCCTTAGAACCAAACCTCTGCTCTTTATAACTACTTTGCATGCACAGCTCTCAGAGTCTCTCTGCTCATTTATGTGTATGTTGGTTTTTTGGTTTTGTTTTCTTGTTTCACTCCAGCTATTTTCTGTCATTCCTTCAGGATTTGAATTACTTTTTTTTTTTCTCTTTCCCATTTTCCTAGGGTTTCGTTGTCGCTGTTCTCTACTGCTTCTTGAATGGGGAGGTAAGATTTTTAATATTAAATGTTCTTCACCTGTCATCCACATCCCATTTTCTTGTGGGAGTAACTGTTGTTCCGACTGTCCATTCTAACTCATCATCTACCATAATCCCTGATACTTTAGTCTGAATCCCACAATTCTCAGAAAAAAAATAAAAAGAAAAAAAAAAGGATTTGTGATGTCTTATCAAAACAAAACATTGGCCTTACCAGAGATGATGGCTCAGATTAAGGCTTCCTGGCAGGGGTAGGATATACACAGGTCTCTCTTGAAATGTCATCCCAAGTACAAAATTTTGCACTGGTTTAATTGAATTTTGCCCTGCTCTTGCCAGCCCAGTCTCCCAGCCTGTTCAGCTCTCTCCAAGAGGTCTGACATGTCTCTGTCACCACCCAGTTTGGAGCCATCAGCCAAACTGGTGATGGTGCTTGCAATCTGAGATAATTCAGAAGATGGTGAGCACCTGGCACAGGTTACCAGAGAAGCTGTGGCTGCCCCTGGATCCCTGGAAGTGTCCAAGACCAGGTTGTATGGGGTTTGGAGCATCCTGGGTTAGTGGAAGGTGTCCCTGCACGTAGCACGGGGTGGAAGGGGATGACCTTTAAGGTCTCTTCCAACCCAAACCATTCCATGCTCTATGTGGGGTCCAGTATCCATACCTGGAGGACACCATTAATGATAATGTGCTAGGTTAAATAAAAAACCATTGTTCACTTCTCAGTGTGGCCTCCTTCCCCTCTTGCAGATCATCAATCCACTCTAAATCTTGCCAGCTTTCCTAGGAATAGGCTGAGGGGAGCAGTGTCAAGCCCTTCACTGAAGGCTGAGTTTTCTTGGGCACCACCCAGCTGGTGCCAGCTTCTCTCCTGAGCCCTGCCACTTTCACCCCTACACACACACAGCCCAAGGGTGTCAGATGCCCAGAGCCATCCCCCAAACTCCACCTGGGTGCCTTGCAAGCCTCACACTCCTCTCAGCACATGGCAACTGCTGCTGGCCACATCTGTGGTTTCTCTGGTTCTCCTGTTCAAATCTGCATTTCCCTGCCTTTTTACCTGACTGAACGGCGCTGTTGAGGCAGGATGGGAACAAGACTCTGAGTCAGAAGGCTGAGAGAGTAAAACTCTGATTTATTTCAAAATGCATCACTCTTTATACAGAGCTTCGTGCAGGCCAACTCTATTGGTCCTGAAGTGAAAACAATCCACTCCATTGGTGCACAGTGAATGACACACAGTGGTAGAACTTAACTATAAACATTGTGAACAACAAGAGAGATAAAGAATTATTTGCATTCTTTTCAGCACTTTCTCAGGCTTCTGCCTGGTTAGAAACTTTCTGTTTCTCTCTTTGACTGAATCTGAGACAAACAACTGAATATCTGAGGTCATTGTTTTCTGAATTGATGGAAAAGGGTTCCCTGCTCAATGTTGTCTTAAGAGTAGCATGGAACATCTAGAGTCCATCCATTCTCTCCTCCACTGCAGCACATCTTTTGTGCAGCCCAGCAGTTGGAGTCGTTTCCTAAAATCAGCTTTTTTCTTCTTTGCAAGGGGGCTGACTTTAGGTATAGCCTGGCATTACTGACCTCTGTACAAAGAGGTCTCAAACTCCTTAATCCAAGTGACTTCTCAGACAAACCACAACAATCTTCAAGCTCACCAAACAAATGGGTTATCTTTGCCCATGGGCATAGTCAAGAGCTCCTGAAGCCCCTTGGAAGGAGTGGGGGGGTGGTTCTTAGCCAAACCAACCAGATTAATTAAAGTCATTTTCCCTCTCAAGATATCAGAAAATGGTAATTAGAGAATGTCTTGTGCCTCTACTAAATTTCCTACAGCAAGAAAATGTTTGGAATATCACACTCTTCCAGATGCAAACACTATCCCCTTTTCACAGAGAAAACATAACTCCATTCTCTATCTGATTTATAAGTATCTATGTTTTAGATAACTTTAACCCAAATAGGAATTTGTAGGTCCTAGAAGGAGAATGTAACCAGTTGGATTTTTCCTCCCTGTAGTTTTTGTCCATACATTTGAAGCCCTTGTTTAGCATTTTTATCTGATCCTTTTTGACAATATTAAGCCTGGAAAATCCAGCAATGATTGTTACAGCAGTTGTAACAGTGATACAACGACTGTTATCTTTGACACAACAGCTCATTGGAGACTGGAAAAATGTATTGGGAAAACATCTCTACATATCTCCCTGTTCTTATACTATTTCATTCAGAAATATGATACAGTAATGAGTAATCAAGTAAATGTTGGCCCAAGCTACTATAATCTCTCTTATATTAAATCTTTAGCACTTTATATATTTATACACATGTGCACACCCCAGCAGTGTTGCCAGGAAACTGGGAATGAACGAAAAGTAGAAAAGCTGTGGGATTATTTACTTATTGCCTAATTGAACTTCTGAGCTTGGATTGTTTTACTCTTGGTGATTTACTGTGGGTGCCAATAAAAAAAAAAAATAACCTCTCAAGAAAAGGAGGGTGGCACAGATGTGCATTAATCCCAGAGCTGGTCTGCTTGGAGAGGATCTGAAAGCAAGAGGCAAAATTCTGTGTAAACATCCAGCCATTAATAGCAGGTGAGAGCAGCTGCCTCTGTGGACAGGGAGTTTCAATAATATCCAGCACTTTTTGATTGCTGGTTCCTTTGGTTCCTTACTATATCTTTGGTACTGGCCAATGATGAAAACAGGCTGTTTTTTCCTCCAGGTGGTGTTGATCAGGTCTTTCATGCTCTGGGCTGATCCTAAATTATCTGAAGTTAAACACAGAACCTGAGCTGGGCTGTAGCTCCCCGCTACATGCCCAGACCTCTTCCAGCCATGGAAAAGTAATTTCAGATTTTTCTGAATTAAGGAGTTTAATAATAACCTTAAAAACCGTTCTGTCGAATTGTGGGGTTTTTTCTAATCTTGATAATTTGTCAGCATGTCCTCGAGCGGCTAAGTACATAAAAAATGACCTTTTGAAGTTTCTCCCTAAAGGTGCAATCAGAAATAAAGAGAAAATGGAGGAGCTGGAAAGTCAACCGGTATTTTGCTGTGGATTTCAAACATCGTCATCCTTCTCTAGCGAGCAGCGGAGTGAACGGGGGGACACAACTCTCCATTCTGAGCAAGAGCAGCTCTCAGATTCGGATGTCCAGCATAAATGCAGAGAACCTGGCGACATGAGCAGCTGAGGAGAGCAAAGCAACCAACGAGCAAACCAAAAACCATCCCTTGAAAAAGAAAAAAAAGGAAATAATAGTTTTGGTGATGGTGCAGGTCTCGCTTCCTTTCCTTTCCTCTCCTCTCCTCTCCTCTCCTCTCCTCTCCTCTCCTCTCCTCTCCTCTCCTCTCCTCTCCTCTCCTCTCCTCTCCTCTCCTCTCCTCTCCTCTCCTCTCCTCTCCTCTCCTCTCCTCTCCTCTCCTCTCCTCTCCTCTCCTCTCCTCTCCTCTCCTCTCCTCTCCTCTCCTCTCCTCTCCTCTCCTCTCCTCTCCTCTCCTCTCCTCTCCTCTCCTCTCCTCTCCTCTCCTCTCCTCTCCTCTCCTCTCCTCTCCTCTCCTCTCCTCTCCTCTCCTCTCCTCTCCTCTCCTCTCCTCTCCTCTCCTCCTCTCCTCTCCTCTCCTCTCCTCTCCTCTCCTCTCCTCTCCTCTTTCCTTTACTTTCCTTTTCTTTCTTTTTCTTTTCCTTTCCTTTTTCCTTTCCTTTTTCCTCTCCTTGTTTTCCCTCTCCTTTTTCCTCACCTTTTTCCTTTCCTTTTTTTCCCTCTCCTTTTTTCCTCTCCTCTCCTCCCCTGAGGTGAAAAAGCGAAGGAAATGTGTAAATATCTCTTTTTAACAGCCACTGTAAATACCCAGCTGTACTCAAGGCCAATAATGGAGAATGTTTAAAAGACAAACAAGAGGCCAAACCCACCCACTCAACTATTCCCATTTCAGAGCATCTGCGAGTAATCCGTGTCCGTCCAAAGTAACAAGTGATTGCTGTGCAGTTGTGATCCTCGGTTGCCAAACTGATCCTACTCTGTGAATGGACATGACCACTGTCGTTTTTCCACTTGGTTTCCATTTTGGGTTGGACTTGCTTATTTTTGTTTTACCCTAGTCCAACATGTCTTAGCCTGTCCCTGTCTTTTGGCACGTGAATTTCTGCAGTGTTTCTCTTTGGAGTCTTAGGATGGAGCTGACGTGCTTGGGTGATCAATCCAGCTGATTCAGGAGGATCTCCAGAAAATTGAGTCCCGATGGATTTATAGCAACAGCTGTGCCAACACGAAACTGCACATCAGTGCAGGAACTTCAGGCCAGAGCAGTGGGATCTGCTGTGCTTTTCTGTACCCAGGGACACTCCCAGGAATGCTTTCTGTTCTAGTTAAGCTGTGAATTTTCTAAAAGGGCCATGCAGTTGAGATATAGCTCTATTTTTGGCATCGATTGATAGATTGATCATTTGGATTCTTTGAGTAATACAAAGAACTGTCCCTCCCCTCCCACCTTAAGAGCAAGAGGCAGTTCCAAGGTGGCCTTTCCCTCCAGATGACCTTGAACCCTCTGCTCCAGTGGCCACATGTGGCGTGGGTGGCCTGGGGGGCAGTGCTGTCACACAGAGCGCCGTGCCTTTGCAACCTGGTTGACTTCTGAGGGCTGACTCTTCCCTGCCAGGGCAAAGAGGCACGAGAAGGACCTGGTGGGATCACCCTGGAAGGTAAAAAAATCACCTGCATTTGGTGAGGGATAAACCAACTAAACTGAGCAGCAGGATGGCACGGAAGGAGAGGATAAAGACTTTGGATGACTTCCCACACCTGGAAATTCTCTCTCTCTTGGAATATTCTGTTTGTTTCACCACCAATGGTCTTACTGCTTTTCTTGGAGAGGAACTCGAATGTTCTTTCAATCTTTGCCTTGTAGTTAAAGCCACGACTGCTACAAATCTACTTCAACCCAATGTCGATGATGTCAATTCTTATGAGTCTTTATACAGCGCAAAAAAAAGGCTTCAAGGGCCGTCCTAGCGCTCCCTTCGTCTCGGATTTATGAATTTATGAACTGAGAAATATATATATATCAAATATATATATATATGTGCGTGTATGTGTATGCATATATTACAAACAAAGATGAAAATGGCATTTTAAATATGAAGTTTTGAACTGAAACTAATAGTAACCAGGAAATTCAAAATTCAGGCTTGTTCTTTGGTGTTAAGTTGACATGATCCTAAACTAAAAACAGGGAAAAATGTTAAATACTTGGAATTTTAGTGTCAGCTGAGTGTGAGCTTTTAATTTCACTGGTTTTTGTTAGTTTAAGTACAAAAAAAAGAGTTTTGATGTCATTTTAAGCAAAGATTTTTAAAGATAATCCTAGTTTACTTATTTTTAAAAGGAGAAAAAAAAAAGAAAGGTCTCAGAAAGTTGTGCAAGAAATATTAATTATAATATTACTTAACACTTATATAATCCTTTATGGGAATATTCTGCTCTTGGCTGGAGCCATCTAAATGAATGTAAATTTTATTCAAAACAGACAGAAATGTTGTTTGAGGTCATACTGGTACAGGACCATGCCCTTAAGAGATGAGGACAGCCCTGTCATGTGAAATCTGCCATGGCACAGAGGACCAGCAAAACAGTTGAAACCACTTCCATTGTATTCCAGGTCCATAAATGGGATTTATATGATCCAAACACCGTTTTTTCCACAAATCTACAGCACTGATTTGCTGCTCTGAGAGCAGAATTTATTTCCCTCTTCCCAGCTCTCTGCAAAAGTCAAAGTGTTTTTAACTGATAGATTTGCCCTTCGTCCTTCTTCAGAAGCTTCTTAAAGCTATTTTAGATTGTTTCTCCAGGAATCAGGTACTTTGCTGTCCAGAGTTGGGGAAAGGCAGATTTATCGGGTAAATGCATATTTGGCAATTTTCTGTAGGATGGGCTTTCACAAGGATTATATTGCCAACACTGTAAATGTATTATTTAAAAAAAAAAAAAAAAAGAAGCTATTTTTTGCATGAATGGCTATTAGCCAGTTTTCAATCATTATTAAATTAGAATTGTGGAGAAAAAGATATCAAATAACTGTCTCTAGCTGGAGACTTTTTCTTGTTTCAATCCAGAGCAAGAAGGTGTTTGGATCTTTTTTTTTTTTAATTTATTTTTTGCTGTTGTTGAATTTTTTCAGAGCTTACTTCGGGGTTTTGTTGTTTTCCTGGCCTTCCTAGAGTGCTCTGCAGTTTGAGTTGGTGGATCCCAGTCCAGTGCCTTGTGGGCAAATGTCCACATCACCAAAACCACCCTCTGACCCTGCACACTGGAGACCAGGTCCTCAGCTAAATTCAATCAGTACAGAAAACTGCTGTTATTGTTAGACTAAACTGCTTCACCTGGAATTGGGATTTGGCCTCAGCACATTGCTATTACCATTAATTTCTGGTGGTCCCAGATAGGGAGTCCATGTACGGAAAAATTGGGAAAAGTTGGATTTGCTCCTTAATTCCTTGAGCCAGTGCTTAGGAATTTGGAGAGCAGTGGAGGGGAAGTTTCTGCTGTTGCAGACATTGTGTTTCTTGTTCAGTAGAAAAATGGAATCTGCTCACCAGCACCGAATTTACTGGAAGAAATGGGATCTTCAACATATTAAACAAAACAAAACAAAAAAAAAAAAAAAAAAAAAAAAGAAAAAGAAAAGAAAAGAAAAACAAAACCTTTGATTATTATTTTATTTCTCTGAATAAAAGTGTTGATGCACTGGCAGATTTGGCTTTTCCTGAGTCACTGGAACTTTCCAAGTATCCCTGGAAGGGACAGGTCACACGAGGTGGACACAGTTATGGGATCCAGACTCTGATGCCGTGGCACAAGTGAGCTCTCCACAAATCTCTCTGTTGAATGTAAGCTGCAGGTGCTGGCCAGGCATGGCCACCCCACAGTGGCTGTTTTTCCATTTGCTTCAGGAGGGAAGAATCCAACAGGCAGTTTGCTTCTCTGTGTGTGTAAATATCAACTGAGTGTAACAGTGTTTTGTTTGATTTTTCACTGTGAAATATATTTTGGAGCTAAAAAGGCTGTGTTATTAAAAACAATACACAATTAAACAAAAAAAAAACCCCAACTGTGCAGTGCTCCTTGAGCCATTTTTTTTACCATGTCCATAATGTATTTCCTGTCTAATTTTCTTATTTTGCTTTTATAAATGTACAGAAAACTTTTTGTGCTGCAGGTTTTGTGACTATTTAGTGTATCTAACCACTGTTTTGATTACTGACTTGTCAGTGTGGAGTGCTGGTACTGCAGGACAATTCACATCCCAACAAAATGAAAACTACAACCTAGATTGTAAAGGATGAGGCTGTTTCATTGCTGCATGGTGATGTCACCTCCTTTTACTTTCACTTTTAGTATTTCTGGAACTCAGAGCCCAGGGAATGAACCTTTAATGCTTAGTTCTGGGAAGTTTTGAATCACAGAGGAAAAATACCTAAGTTCCTCTGCACCATTCACGTGCATAATTTGAGAACCAGGTGTTAAAATGGAATGGTGGGAGAAGGGATGAAGGTAGGTGAGCCCAGAGGAAAATGAAGTTTGGAAGTTAAATCCAGACACTTTACTGGGTGTTTGGCTGCTCCCTTTCAGCATCTGTCTCTCATTGCACCTTAAGGACAATGCCCTGCAATGACAAGGCTAAACAACAACCAGAAGTGGCCACGAACTGATAATTTGAGTTTACCTTTGCAAACATGACTCTCCCTGGACTCTCTCCATCATCAATGGCAATTGGGAGATACCTTCCACAAGGAACTGAAGTTCACAGAATCAACAGCCAAGGCTGGAGGTGACCTTGAATGACAAATTTGGTCCAACCTTTCATGAGAAAGAGAGCCAAGATGAGTTTATCCCACACCCTGTCCAGTCACCTCTTGAAAACCGCCCCTGATAGGGACCACACCTCTGGGGAGGTTCTTCCCATGAGTGGCTGTTCTCACTCCAAAAAATTTCTGGTTTATATCAAGATGATCCCTTTCCTGGTGCAACTTGTCACCCTTGTATTCTCCATGTGGATCCTTGTGGAAAAGAGAACCTTCATCCTCTTTCTGACCACTCTTAGAATTGGAATAGTTTGGTGAGGTGGCCACTGAGGCTTCATTTCTCCAGGGAAAAATTCCTTCAGCTTTTCTTCACTGTTCCCATTCCATCTCTCTGATGATCTTCATGGTCCTCCTTGTGACCTTCTCCAGTCTGACCAT